ACCTAATCCTTCTAACCGCATTATGGAACTGTGGTTGACAAAGTCACTAACAGAAATGAGTTCCAGGAAGATTCCTGTAGGGTAAAAGGCGGCCGGAACGTAAGGCTGACAAAGCCACCTACATTTTTAAGACCACTCCCTAGTATCCATAGGAGACTCGACGTCTCAGAATCCTATGGGCCTGCATGGCCTGTAACAGAGATAAACATTGGTTCAGGTATTCATGAGTTAGTACGGAAACTTACACACACACACACACACACGCACACACACAGTAATTTGATGTCATAATCAGGTTTAAGTTTTCCAAACAAGGAAAGAAGGATTAAAAACTTATGGAAGTTTGAGGAGCAACGACAACTTGTACGTACAAGTCTTACAATGTACACGAGAAGAACATCAGAAGGAATGATTACTGATGAAGGCAACCTTCGTCAATATCGAAACACGAAATCTGAACGAAATTCTTCTGTGCTAAGGTAACATCAGGAAGCTTCATATATAACCAACGACTGCATCCAAGTTTCTTACAAAACTGAAACATAACATTCTCTTTTTAGTCCATGTGATCTCAATGACGAAAAATGGATACTTCGGTAAGGATCTGAGACAAGGAGGGAGAGGGAAATTCAGTAACAACACCGTTACGCCTGGTAACTTCTTCAACACCGGCCGTGTTGTTGTTGATTACTCCATGGCACACATCATCAGTTACCTCCTTGCACGCCTCAATGATTACTGCTCTCAATTCCATCATTGTCTGCGTCTATTTTGGAAAACCTTTCTGTTAAGTAAACCCCAAACAAGGTAGCCACATGGGTTTAAATAAGAACTACTTCTGTACACTTGGGAAACGATCAGCATCTCGGTTTAAGATAATACACGAGTCTAAAATGTCATGCAGAAAATCCAAAACGACATTCGCTGGGTGGGGCATGGCTCCAGCATGCAACAGCGACTCACCTTATTTATAACGGCAAACAACTAAGAAGAAGGTGAGGCATAAAATTCTAGCGCAACATGCATAATTAGTGCTCACTGTTCAGTGGCCCTTCAAAGATACCTGGCTCTAGCAGTCCGCGACTTGAGATGGCGCCCCATACTGTCATTCTCATCATTCAAATGTGGATTCTCTCATAACCCAAAATTGCACATTTTGTTTAATAAACACAAAATCCAAGTGGCAGTGTGCATCATCAGAAAACCAAACATTGTTGAACAATACCTCATTATTCTGAGCCTACTCAGTAAATTAAATTCTCCAATGTTTGTTTAAATTTAAGTTTAGGTAACGCTGTCATTTTGTATGGATACAAATTCATATCATTTTCAATATGGACAGTTCTATCGAGACGGCCGAGCAGAGCGGACTTGTATAGGACAACGCTCCGTGAGGCACGTGCTTTATAGTGAAAGTTTAGTGAGGTGACCTCTGTAAACGTTATCTAATAGTCAAATAGATAACGCGAAAATACAGTAATATTGCAACGATCAATCAGTGAGTCAGCCTGGCACGAGTGTTGACAACAGACATCAACAACAACAACGGTTCCTGAGGCAACCGACCCAACCATCCCAACAGACAACAACAAAAATTAAAAATACTATCATAGGATGTCATTAACTAGTGAAGAAGATGCTACCATCCAGGATTCAAACGAAAACACGTGGCAAAAAGTGAAGAACACAAAAAGAAGGAAGGTAAATCAACCTGTCAGTCAAAACATAACCTTAACAAACAAATATAGTCAACTGAATGTAGAAGAAGGCGAAAACACCACCACCAAAATAATAGAGAATAAAATCCAGAAACCACCTTAAATATTTGTATATGGGGTAACAAACTATCAAGACATGGTACATAACCTGAGCAGCACAGTTGAAATAGAACAGTACCCTACAAAAGCCTTAGTAGACAACACTGTAAACATTAACTGACATACTCCGGACACCTATCGTAATCTTGTACGATATATGCGTGAAAAGAATATTATACATCATACATACCAACTGAAGGAAAATCGTGCCTTCAGGATAGTTACTAAACATCTACATTTTTCAACTAACCTACAAGAAATTGTACAAAAACTCAACAAAGAAGGACACAAGGTAAGAAACATCATAAATGCAAGAAGCCGGATGACCAAAGAACCACTTAAGGTATTTTTTTGTCTATCTGCAGCCTGCCACTAACAACACATTTCACTGATAGATCCTACTTCAATATACCAAAGTACTTAACATACTCTACTAATCATCCCGACACTACAGCACAATGAGGAACTGCAATATTAATAAAAAGAGCTATTAATCATTATGATCTCCCAAAGTACAAATTAAATCACCTACAGGCCACAGTGACGAAAGTAAAGATGACCCAATACGAGTTAACTCTTGCTGCAGTTTATTGTCCACCAAAACATATCATCAAAAAAGAGAACTTTAATGATTTCTTTCAAACGCTGGGAAACAAATTTGTAGCATGCGGAGATTATAATGGCAAGAACA